CACATTTATCATCTTGCTAATAATCATCAGCTCATCTGTCATCATCTCATCTATCATCACATTTATCATCTTCTTAATAATTGTCAGCTCATCTGTCATCATCTCATCTATCATCACATTTATCATTTTCTTAATAATCGTCAGCTCATCTGTCATCATTTCATCTATTATCACATTTATCATCTTCTTAATAATTGTCAGCTCATCTGTCATCATCTCATCTATCATCACATTTATCATTTTCTTAATAATTGTCAGCTCATCTGTCATCATTTCATCTATCATCACATTTATCATCTTCTTAATAATCGTCAGCTTATCTATCATCATTTCATCTATCATGACATTTATCATCTTCCTAATAATCGTCAGCTTATCTGTCATCACCTCATCTATCAACACATTTATCATCTTCCTTATAATCATCAGCTCATCTGTCATCATCTCATCTATCATCACATTTATCATCTTCTTAATAATCATCAGCTCATCTATCATCATCTCATCTATCACCTGCAGATCCACAAAGATTGAACACTCTGGAGAGATCATCTGTAAACTGAAGAACGATGCTGGACAAGCCATGTGTAAAGCTCGGCTGAAGGTCAAAGAAGATCTTAGCAAGAGAGGAGAGCGCCCCTTGTTCCTGGAGCAGCCCTCTGATAAGGAAGTCAGTGAAGGGGATGAAGTCACTTTTGAGTGTGTCATATCAGGACTTCCAGAGCCTGAAGTCACATGGTACTTCAATGGGCGAGAACTTCACGTAAGTCTATCTCTTACTAGCTTTAAAAACAAAACAAAAACAAAACTTTTAAATAAGGGTTCTGTCTGTTATGTTCATTGTTTTATGATTTTCTTCCCCTATGAGCTCCGGGGCCCTATTTTTGAACAGACACACTGCCCCCCCCTCCTCCACACAAAAAAAAACTCAGAGTATGTCTGCCCGAGAGGCAAGGAACAACCAACTGCACATAAAAAAGTCAGTAAAATTGACGTACACACAAAACGCAGGCCCTGGCACAAAGCCAAAGTCCAAATGGACGAACAACCAAGACTTTCTGCCAGAGCTGCTGAACAAAGACATAAAAGAAAGCAAGCGAGCAAGAGGCAGACAGTAATTATAATACAGTGGAGCCTCTCTTAACGAGCATAATTCGTTCCAGAATCATACTCGTTAAGCGAAACACTCGTTATGCGAAACAACTTTTCTCATATAAATTAATATAAAATACGGTAATGCGTTCCATGTCAAAGAAAATACTCACAAAATTCTATGTATACCATTTATTCAAAGAAAATTATATACATATTGTTAACTCTTTGAGTCCCTGGGGGTTTAGCATCAGAGGCCCAAGGGGTAGTCAAGAAAGATGTAAAAATCGGCGCATCTTGCGTTCTGTGGGCTTCTAGGTGGGAACCTATTAATGTCTGCTGCGCTCCTTGGGACTTAAAGAGTTAAGGAGAGTGAATCATCTTCGTCTTTTCTTTAAAGGAGGAATGAGACCACCTGGAATGCGAATTTGATTTGCAGAAAAAAAAAGTCACAATAATTATGATACATAGCTAATTATTTTTTATTTACTAGAAAGATTTTCAGAGACATTTGTTTTTGCAGAAGCTTCAAAATTTGACGAAAATGCAACACAGCATTATTATTAAATAAATTTGCAGCGCGCATAGCCACTTCCTTATTATTTGTGATGCTTCTCAATAAAGATGCAACAGTTTCCAATGCTTTCAGCATTTCTCTTATTTCGCCAGAAGATTGTTGCTTTTCTGTTACTTCCTCCTCCTCCTCTGACAAACTTTCTTCAAAAACCTCTTGCTGTGAAACACTATGCAACTTCATAAGCTCTTCGGTGGTCAGCTCTTGGCTTTGCTCTTCCATAAACTCTTCGATATCACTGTCATCCACCTACAATCCTTTATAGTGGCCAAAGACACAATCTCGTTGACTACAGGTTCCACAGGTACTGTCTCAAATCCCACAAAGTCACAAATCGACAACCCTCTCCGGCCAAAGCTTCTTCCAAGCAGAAGTTAGGGTTTTCTTGGTAAACTCCCACCCCCTTCCCTGTCGATTATCTTGAGGCAGGCAACGACGTGGAAGTGTTTTTTCCAAAATTCTTTAAGAGTGAGGTTGGTCCTTCAGTCACCTGAAAACAATGCTTGACAGTGTTTTAGTGTAGAGATTCTTAAAGTTAGAAATAACTTGCTGGTCCATGGGCTGGAGTAACGGAGTGGTGTTGGGAGGCAGAAACTTGATCTTGATGAACTTAAATTCTTCAGGGAGGTCATCTTGTAGTCCTGGAGAATTCATGTACATATATCACAATAAAACACAAGTTTGAGAAAATGTGTGATCACAAGGGACACTACGATGCTACTGGAACGAGTGCTAAACACAGACTGATGTTACATGCGCACAATTCAGGACTTCTCCTCTCCCTGCCACACGTTATGCGAAATGTCGCTCGTTAAGCAAGTCATTCTTTTACAATTTGTTTTGCTCGTTATGTGAATTATTCATTATTAGAGGTGCTCGTTAAGCGAGGTTCTACTGTAGGAGTATAACATTCAAAGATGCATAAACAGGAGATTTAGAGTGTACATCTGTGGCAAAAGACAAAGTGTTTTGGAGATCCATTGCAGCTAACCTTCACATAGAAACGGTACCTGACTGATTGATTAATTGAATCTTACATGTATATGTTGTCTAGAAGAGTTAGACATTATTATTCAATTCAATGAAATTTTGTTGTTCTTGTTCCGCAGGAATCACGTCGCCGGACAATGCGTCACAAACCTGGACAGAAGTACACGCTGACCCTCAAGGAAGTGATCCCAGAGAATGCTGGAGTGTACACTTGTAAGGCTGTCAATCGAGCTGGTGATGCCTCTTGTGCTGTAGAACTCTCAGTCAAGGAGCTGCCCACTGACCAGTTGCTGAAAGGGAAATACTACGAGTTAGTTGTGGATATTTGTTAATTCTTGTTTGTTTTGTTACTTACTTGTCCGCTCAACACATACTGATATCTCTCACTCTAGGTCCAGTCTATTTGATAATATAATTAGAGGAATGTCTTTATCGCATTAGGTTTTATCCCATATGACTCTCCTCAGAATAGCTAGCCATCTCTTGCAAGCATCACAAAACACGATCTCTGTAGCTAAAGTGACAGTTTCCAGGGATGTCTGTAAAAAACTGAATTTGCAAGCTTAAGGACGCATCTGTGAAACAAACCCACAACCGTCAGAGTGCAAGGCAGACAGCTTGACCATTTCCCTACAGAGTTTGCCATTGATGGAATTCTTCTTTTTCTTTACATTCACCAGCTGTAAACCCCGGCGGAAAGTTCTGGTTGTTCATCCACTTTTGGACTTTGGCCTTGTTCCAGAACTTGAGTTATGCAGGCACATCTGTTTTACAGATCTGACTTGTTTGTATGCAGACTGTTCGTTCCTCAACTTACAAGCCGATGCACTCTGACTTTAAAGGAAACATCCCTAATTAGTAGACAGCATGCTTATGGTGGGGAGGAGGGGGAGGAGGGGGGGAAACAGTGGGTCTATTCTTTTTCTTTCCTACAATGGGGCTGCCGTACCCACACAGTGATTTAATATAAATAGCTTTTTACCATAATAAATACCTCGGTGGTTCAGAATTTTTTTTCCAACTCTAAGGCATGGATCCTGAAAGAGGAGTCAGGTATCTGTCAGCATGAATATAAACACAGGATATTAGAGACATGTTGGGCATGAAAATACATGAGGAAGGCAAAGTGGCAAGAACCCAAGATTCTGATCAGCCTGGTAGTGTTGGGAGTGAGGCTCTACAAAGACCTTTCTTCATGATAATAGGTGGAGGGAGGGGGGAGATGATGATGCAAGCATTAAGTCGGGAGGAAAACAACAGAAAATGGCTAATACAGTGGTCAAAGAAAGTGAAAAAAAATAATCTACCTTAACTTTAGAGTTGAGTACAGTTAAGAAGTGATGACATCATAACATTCAGAACATTCCCTTGAGCGCTCTGGCCACATCTCCAGCAGCCAGCACAAAGTTGGAATTCAAATAGTATCAGTAGGTAACATGTCTTTTCTATAAATGTTGAATTTCAGCCAGATTTCCTGGTCACACTTCGCTGCATCTGTATGTCAGTGGAAAAACATAAGTTGTAGTAAAAATCATAGAAATATAATGTCAGAGCAATGTTAAATCCACCACGACTCACTCATGGAATTAATCAAAATGTTATGAGAGAGACTTTGAAAATTGTCACAAAAAAACCTGTTATTGAAATTGACAGAAACTGTCAGTATCCCCTTATGGATCATATGTCGAGAAAGACTGGGACATTTTGATACAACTGATGAAATTAATTAAATTGAGAGAAAGGCAAAATGAGAGAGAGAGAGAACATACTGGACACCTGGCATCTTCGCATGACACAATGCTAGCATATGCATTGACTCACATACAGATTTGTAGAGAGGTATCATCATCATCAATATCAGATGCTGGGGTTTGTGGTAATGAAAACACTTTCATTGTAACAAGTTTACTTTGCTTTGTATTCTCTTCTTCTTCTTTGTGTTCACTGCTACAAACTCTGGCAGACAGATCTGGTTGTTCATCCATCTCTGGACTTTGATCTTGTTCCAGAACTTTAGATTGCCTGCACATGCATTTTACACATCTAGTTTATTTGTACGTAGACTGTTGCAGGCTTTCATCTCAGGCAGATGCATTCTCTTCCAAGAAAACACCCCTAATTAGTTCCCTTTTGCAACATGCTTAGGAGGATATTTAGTCTCTCTCTCTCTCTCTCTATCTCTCTCTCTCTCTCTCATTCTCTCCCTCATTCTCTCTCTATCTCCGCCCCCCCCCCCCCCCCCACCATCTCCCCCCCCCCCCTTCCCCACCATCCCTAGTGGGACATCAGAACCCACACGAGGAGTGTTTTGGAAAGATCATAACAGTTACATTCAACTTTCCAGCACTACTATCCCGTATGACTCGGCCAAGTATGCCTTCCCTCCATCATTCACTCGAAGAATCCAAGATCAGAGGAGCGTGCCAGGAAGAATGGCCAGATTTGAGGCCCTGGTGATTGGTATACCTGAGCCAGAAATTGAATGGTATGTGCTCTATTTTGTCTTTAACCAGTTGTACCAGTTTTACATCTCTTTTCTATTTCTTTTTTCAGTGTTTGCCTTCATATAGATTTTTCAACAACAATAATAGTAGTAAGAGAACAGGTTTGTGACACCATACCATACAAAGCATACATGGAAAGAGAAGAAGGACGTAGAGCACAGAGTAGACCAAGAACAAGATGGAAGGATAACATCAGAGAAACTCTACAACAGCACGATGTGCCTATGGTCGAGGCAGCCAGAAGAGCTAGAAACAGAACCTTATATCTCCCTCGACACACACAGTGGTAAAAGAGGAAGTGAAGAAGAAGAAGAAGAAGAGAACAGGGCAGTAGGTCTGTTCTTTGTTCTCCCAAAGTGGGTCCTGGAAACCCATACAGGAGTATGACAGGCAATATAAATAAAAATAAATTACGAAGAACTACATTGCTCAGACACTGGCCTGCTTTAACCTGCTAATGTAACTAAAATTTTGTATTTACCCATAACCTTTTTTTTTTAAAGGCAGTGAGAGAGTGGACGCCCTGGCTGGCAGTGCAACTATCAGGAATGGGCCATTTATGGACAGGAGAGACATCATCAGTGCCATATGAGAGACGAATTGCTGTGAGGCTTTCAGTTTCATGGAAAATGATTTTTCACTGAATACCCTGGGGGTACCAGTCAGAGTAGCAAGACATGATAACCATATGGGAGCCACTCGTTGTTACAGCAACCAGAACAGAACTGGAGTTTTTAGCCTAAAAACACTTGGAGACATACTCAGGAGGAGATCTGAACACTTTTGGTCTTGCCTGATGTGTCATGAAGATGATCTTTAAATGAACAGCGAACAATCCTGTCTTTTTTATGACTGTCATGCGCTTTTCCTTTCTGATAGATAAGCACATAGTTAAATTGTTCTTGTTCTGGCTAGAAATGGTAAGAGCAACATCATGCTTTGATTATGCAGAGATAAGAGCTAAGAGTTAACAATCCACATAACAGCACTTGGGACATTCCTGTAAACACTCTGCCGCCATCTTCCATTACTTTCATTTGTAATGTCATTATGAATTCATTTTGTCTTTCAGCCAAACATTGAGCATCAGTCATATCCTTTGGTTACTTCCATTTACCACATTGTAAACCATGGTTATTATATAGAGACTAAGACTGATCATTTACTGAGGATAGAACCTGCAAAACTACCCTGGTATGCCTACAGCTGAAGAAGAATGAGTTACAGAGTGTGAGGAAGATGAAGTAGATGGCTTGAGAACATCAAGAATACATTTTAGTGGCACAGATTCACATCTGCCAGCACAGGACACATGGAACAAGAACATAACCTGCAATTACCTGCAGTTCTTCTCAGGAAGGTCTGAACCAGTACATGGGAACAACACAGTTGTTCTGTTGATTCAGTGGTGAATAGATAAGACAGTTGTTCATGCTGTTTCTTATACTGCATACTTTTTTCTGTTTTAAAACAAGATATAAGTATTCATCAGTCAGTCAGGTCTCCACAACCAAGTCTGGCTGCAAATTCAATCTCCAACACTTTCTGTCTCTTGTCCTGATTGTATATGCTCTGAAACTGCAGTTTGTCGATCTCTTGATGTTGTCCTCCCATTTGTAAAATCGTGTAGCTCTTGCTTACATGCCTTCAGCTTGCTTTTAAAACTAATAACTTGTGTCACTTCAGGCAGAAGGATGGGTTCCCTCTCAAGTGGGGGTCCAAGTACAAGATGGGCAGAGAAGGTAACACAGCCATCCTGGTAGTTGAGAACTGTGAAGCTGCTGATGAGGGGACTTATACCTGCCAGCTGTTCAACGATGCTGGCAAGACTTCTTGCTCAGCTCAGCTCAGAGTACAAGGTACATGGAAAACATTAACTGACTGTGTGTTCATGTTTGTTGTTCCTTGTTGTTTGCATTTATCGGCTGAAAACTCCAGTGGAAATTTCTGGGTTTTCATCCACTTTGGTCTTTGGTCCTGTTCTAGGACTTGAGTTTTGTGGTGTGTAGACAGATCTTGAAGATCTGGCTCATTTGTGGGCACACTGTCAATTCCTTGCCTCTCAGGCAGATGCAATCTGGCTTTGAAGGAAAACTGTGCTTTCATAAATGACTGGGTTGTTCTGTACTTCTTAATCTTTTAGTATTATGATGACATTATACATATCCATTTGTACCAGCTATGTAAATAATACATGTGAGCTCCTTTATAGCTTCTGAAGAGACCCAGTCTTCCCTCCTTGACCAACTACCAACCAAGGTTAAGGACATGCATTACAAATACATTCTCAATGCTGCTGCTTATTGTTTGGTTCAAACAAGTACAATCCAGTATACCCCAGATTGATCATATTTTTTCTGTTTAACACACAGATGAGAAATGGAGACAATCACTGCCAAGATTTGTACCTTCTACGAAAGGTGTGGATCTCTTCCGAGCATCGCCTAGTCCTGTTCCAAGAAAACCAGTTGTTAGAGAGATTCCTTTGGAGGGTAAAATACTTATCCTATTTATAGTCTTGAAAATCAACTGTAATATTTGCTGACAGACAAAATATGTGTATTTAACTTGTATATTTGCACAAGGATAACGGTTTACAAATTTAAAGTTGGAGGAATGAATTTCATTTTACCAGGTTTTATCCCATGTAGCTGGACTTGTGTTTACAGAATGATTCACTGCCTGCAGAGGTTGTAGGAACTCCAGAGGCAACCCTAAACAAACACTCCTCCCCACTCCCACCCACACAAAAAAACGTGCACTCATAAATCATTCACTTGTGAACCGTATGGCACAGTCCATGAAACGAGCCTTTCAGAGTGAGAGGATGACAGTTTAACCAGTTAGCCACAAAGACGCCATGTGCAATTTAAATTTGCATTTTTAAATTACTTACGTCTACTTTCTGTCTGGGTTCTGGGTCCTCATTTGGGGGAAAAAGGGGGGGGGGGGGGACAGACCCAATGCCTCTTAACAAGCATATCGTAGGAGGTGACTAATTAGAGGTGCTTCCTTCAAAGTCAGAGTGCATTTGCCTGAAAGCCAGGGAACCAAAAGTGTGCACATTAATAAGCCATAGCTGTGAAATAGATATGCACACAGAATTCTTGTTCTGAAACAAAAACACTAAAATCCAGAAGTGGACGAATAACAGAGGAAACAAAAATATGACATATCTCTGCTGCAGTATTTAAAATCAGATAAATTATCAATATCTGCTGTAGTATTTAAAATCAGATAAATTATCAATATCTGCTGTAGTATTTTAAATCAGATAAATTATCAATATCTGCTGTAGTATTGTCCAACAGGCAAAATCTCGTATTTTTCCTGCAGTTCTTTCCTATCAATAATACAATTCACATTGTATGTATGTTTATGTTTTCTATGCACATATGTGTACATTTACATTTTATGTTTGTTTTCTATATACATATGTGTACATTCACATTGTATGTTTGTTTTCTATAATAGTATGTGTATGTGTACATTTACATTGTTTGTATTATTATGTTTTCTAAATACATATGTATGTGTATGTTCATATTGATTGCATATTTGCCAGCATATAACTTTCTTATTTCACTCCTGCAATATTTCTCTCCAAGGATAAAATGCTCATATCTCTTCCACAGTATTTTCCCAAAGATAAACCTGTATCATTCTATAATATTTTTCTTGACAGATACAACCCTTGTAACTCTCATGTAGGGTTGCCAGATATGGCAAAATAACAAAATGGAGTGATGACTCATTGTTTGTTTATAATTAAATTTTTCACTCGCTATAAAATATACATAATCGACGTACTAAACTTGCTACATATAAACAAAATTAAAATAAATAGAAAATGGAGGGATCTAGGGAAAATGGAGGGATCTAGGGAAAATGGAGGGATCTGGTTAAAATGGAGTACCTGGCAACCTTACTGTCATGTAATATGTATCCCAATAGAAAAAATAATTATATCTGTCCTGGAATATTTCCCTTCACAGAAACAGTTTTTATATCTGTCTTGCAATATTTCCCTCCACAGATAAAATACTTATATCTATCCTGCAATATTTCCCTCTACAGATAAAATACTTAACCTGCCTGCAATATTACCCATCACAGAAAAAAAAGATACTTATATCTGTCCTAGAATATTTTTCTCCACAGTTAAAATACTTATATCTGTCCTGCAGAATTCCCTATCACAGATAAAATACTTATATCTGTCCTGCAATATTCCCCTCCACAGATAAAATACTTATATCTGTCCTCCAATATTTCTCTCCACGGTTAAAATATGTATATCTGTCCTGCTGAATTCCCCTCCACATTTAAAATACTTTAATCTATCCTGTGATATTACCCTCTACAGATAAAATACTTATATATATCCTGCAATATTATCCCTCCTCAGTTAAAATATGTATATCTGTCCTGCAGAATTCCCCTCCACAGATAAAATACTTTAATCTATCCTGCCATATTCCCCTCTACAGATAAGATACCGACCATGCCCATAGACAAGCCAGTGTTGCTAGATGTGAAACCTAATGCCACACACTGTGTGTAGTTCTTCTTCTTCTTCTTTTCTGCCTTTCAGCTTTCCTTCAAGCATAAGGCCTCAGTTAGCTCCTGTCAAGTCTTTTATAGACTAAATGTTAATGACTAAATGGATTTAGCAGATAACGTTTTTAAGAAGATTGTTTCTCCTTTTCCTCTGTGTCTTCCTTTAACATTTTCAGTACCAAAGAAATCACCCTACATTCACTGTTACACATGTGTGTGTATATATGTGTATGTGTGTGTGTGTGTATATCAATCTCTCTCTCTCTCTCTCTCTCTCTCTCTCTCTCTCTCTATATATATATATATATATATATATATATATATATATATATATATATATGAGTGTATGTATGTATATGTGTGTGTATATATATGTCTCTCTCTCTCTATATATATATATATATATATGAGTGTATGTATGTATGTGTGTGTGTATATATATGGGACACACTTCTTGACTTTTTCCTATTTCCATTCTTGTCTTAAAATAGCCCATTGGTTTCTACTTGTTATTATGCCCTTTTCTCTCAAAGCTGAATGTTTCAGCTCTATGAGACCAAAACATTGTTGCCTTATGATAAACTTTAGCATAGACACTTTTGAATTCAACACTATTTGGGACTGAAAAAAGATAAAAAGGTGGTCGGGATGTTGTGTTGTAATTTACAGCTTGGCTGCAATATCTGTGCCTTTCAACACATCAGATTTCAGTAAACACCTGATAGGTCACTTTTTACATCATGCTTGTTAGGAGGCAGGGGTTCTATCCCCCACCCCCCTCCCCCAAAATGAAACCGAGACCACACAGTGGGAATTATGGTCAATGTATGGTGGTTAGTTGGTATAGAAGAGTAATTTGTATACAATTTTATGAAGGTAAATCAGGGTTTGCTTTGCACTTGGTAAAGGTAATCCAATGATAAATAGGGCCATAGGTATGTGAAGTGTTTAGCATTAAGATACACCTGGCTGCTGGGTTCTTGAGTTGATGAGTTGAGTTGAGTTGTAAACATGTGTAAAGAACTCAGTGTCTACAACCCTGGTATTATTTTGTTTTTCAGCACTCAATAGTTGTATCTCTATATGTTTTCTTATAAGTATCTGTTAATTCATCTGAAATATACATTGGATGATTGATTACACTGACAATGTTCTGATCATAGTGCAAAATTTAAAGAGCATATATTATAGTTTGAATCAAAGGTGTCATAAGAATGCATGAACTTGAGCTTATGAATTATCATCTGTATGTGAATTGGTTAGCCTATTTGCCTTTCATTCTGAAACATGTATGACTTGTTTCTGACTCCATCTTGCAATTCACATATGAAGGTGTTTTTTGTTGTTGAGATCTATGGAGTCAGTCACTGGAGCTGGGGAGCTTCATGCATTGTGTGATGCTCTCAGCCAGAGACCAACTCTGTGGAGGAAAACTGAGCTGTATGAAATGTAACATTCTTTTTCTTATAGTCCATGCAGTGTGGCGATGGCATTCAAGTCTGTCCAGGTACTTTCAGTCTATTCTGACACTGAATGCTTCCATACCATGTCAAACAATCATCTTCTCTCTTGGTCTCCCTCTGCTTCTTTTCCCCTTCAGATTTCCTACCGTCATGATGTACTCCAGTTTCCTCCTTGTCTTGACATGACCAGAGAATGTAGATTGTCACCTTCTGCTGTTCTACTGCAAGTCACTTTCTTTTAAGACATCTTTATTACTTTTTGTATCTGTCCAGGATATTGTCATAATTCATCTATAAAACCACATCTTTCTTCTTCTTCTTCTTCTCTTCCACCTTGTACCTCATAGAAGTGTCGGGTGGAGATGTAATATTCGTTGATGAGCTCACATCTTTGAGGCTTCCAAATACATCTGCGACAGGGTCGCCCAGTGGCTCAACCGTGGATGACTTCATTGATGGTTGGGACAGTATTTGGGGCTGTCTCCTTCGATCGTATTAACACTGCAGGAGTTTTTTTCAGGGCTCTTGATGATGTGCAATGCTAAGTCATTTTATAAGGCACACATAACCTAGTCACAATTATAACCAAAAGATCCCTCTTTGGGAATGCTGCATGAACGTGATTATTTTCAATTTTTCCCAACAGCAAAGCTCCTACTTGCTTCCAAATAATATTTCACTGTCCAACTGTGGATCTTTCCATCTGTCCATGATGCGCTCTGAGATAAAACATAGTGCAAGGAAGTCATTCCTCTTCCATTCTGTGTTTTTCTCCTATGAGCTGCTACCTGAAGTTTTGACCATCCTAAGATAACAAAAATTTGTTTCTGGATGGCAACCCAACAGGACAAATCCCAAATACCTTGTTCAATCTCCAAAGAAGTGATAATTAAGGCATCCCCATATTGGCCACATTAGCCTAGTGCAGCCAATAGTGCAGTGTGAGTAAAGATGTAATGGTAATGATGTATCATCTTTGTGTCTTTAAACATGCTTTTATCACTTTTAATTGTATTGATAATTTTGATGATAGTGTTCATGATGATGATAGTGATGTTCATGATCATGACGAGTATTCAGTGTTATCACACTTGGGACTCGTGTTTGGTCTCTCCCAGCAGAAGTAAACTCATGACTGTATTTGTTACAAATCCACATCTTTCCCTTATTCAAGCAATCACTTCCAAACTAGATTGCAAATTCCAGCAACCAGTTGTCTGTTCCAGCGCTTAAATGCTTGCTCCAGCAACTAAATGCTTGCTCCAACACCTGAGTGCTCACATGAGCATCTGAGTGCTGATTTCAGCATCTGAGTGCTAGCTCTAGCATCTGAGTGCTAGCTCCAGCATCTGAGTGCTCGCTCTATCACCTGAGTGCTCGCTCTATCACCTGAGTGCTCGCTCTAGCACCTGAGTGCTTGCTGCAGCATCAGAGTGCTCATTTCAGCATCTGAGTGCTAGCTCCAGCACCTGAGTGCTCGCTCTATCACCTGAGTGCTCACTCTATCACCTGAGTGCTTGCTCTATCACTTGAGTGCTCGCTCTATCACCTGAGTGCTCGCTCTATCACCTGAGTGCTCGCTCTATCACCTGAGTGCTCGCTCTATCACCTGAGTGGCTCGCTCTATCACCTGAGTGCTCGCTCTATCACCTGAGTGCTGGCTCTATCACCTGAGTGCTCGCTCTATCACCTGAGTGCTCGCTCTATCACCTGAGTGCTCGCTCTATCACCTGAGTGCTCGCTCTATCACCTGAGTGCTCGCTCTAGCACCTGAGTGCTTGCTGCAGCATCAGAGTGCTCATTTCAGCATCTGAGTGCTCGCTCTATCACCTGAGTGCTCGCTCTATCACCTGAGTGCTCGCTCTATCACCTGAGTGCTCGCTCTATCACCTGAGTGCTCGCTCTATCACCTGAGTGCTCGCTCTATCACCTGAGTGCTCGCTCTATCACCTGAGTGCTAGCTCCAGCATCTGAGTGCTCGCTCTATCATCTGAGTGCTAGCTCCAGCACCTGAGTGCTCGCTCTATCACCTGAGTGCTCGCTCTATCACCTGAGTGCTCGCTCTATCACCTGAGTGCTTGCTCTATCACCTGAGTGCTAGCTCCAGCATCTGAGTGCTCGCTCTATCACCTGAGTGCTCGCTCTATCACCTGAGTGCTCATTTCAGCATCTGAGTGCTTGCTGCAGCATCCGAGTGCTCATTTCAGCATCTGAGTGCTTGCTCTAGTATCTGAGTGCTTGCTGCAGCATCTGAGTGCTTGCTGCAGCATCCGAGTGCTCATTTCAGCATCTGAGTGCTTGCTCTAGCATCTGAGTGCTTGCTCTAGCATCTTAGTGCTTGCTGCAGCATCTGAGTGCTTGCTGCAGCATCCGAGTGCTCATTTCAGCATCTGAGTGCTTGCTCTAGCATCTGAGTGCTTGGTGCAGCATCCGAGTGCTCATTTCAGCATCTGAGTGCTTGCTCTAGCATCCGAATGCTCATTTCAGCATCTGAGTGCTTGCTCTAGCATCTGAGTGCTTGCTGCAGCATCCGAGTGCTCATTTCAGCATCTGTGTGCTTGCTCTAGCATCCGAGTGCTCATTTCAGCATCTGAGTGCTTGCTCTAGCATCTGAGTGCTTGCTGCAGCATCCGAGTGCTCATTTCAGCATCTGAGTGCTTGCTCTAGCATCCGAGTGCTCATTTCAGCATCTGAGTGCTTGCTCTAGCATCCGAGTGCTCATTTCAGCATCTGAGTGCTAGCTCCAGCATCTGAGTGCTCGCTCCAGCATCTGAGTGCTTGCTCTAGCATCCGAGTGCTCATTTCAGCATCTGAGTGCTTGCTCTAGCACCTGATTGCCCAATGTAAGATTTAGTTTTTTTTTCATTCCAGCATTCAATAGCCGATTACAGAATTTAATTGCCCATTCCAGCATTTCAGTTGCCCATTCCAAATCCGTAATGAAGAAGGTTTATCAAATGATCCATCACCATCACTGAGACAACAGTTGATGTTTTCACAATGTGAAAAAAATAGACTAAACTGCTATTTGTCTGGCCTCATCACTTGATTTTGTCAGGAAAAATTATGATTTTTTCCTTGTTTTATTCAGAGCCCAGGAGAAGAGAATCCTTACTTAGAGAGACTGAGACACCAGGTTAGATGTCTTCACTAAATGTTATTCCATTGTTTATGTTTTTGTTTTATGTTTGTTGTAGTTGTTATTATTTAATTTCAAATAATCCTGATCATTGTCATCATTATCCTTAGATGAAATATGAGAATAAATTGTGACTAACCATGTCATGGCATCATCAGTCTTGGGCAAGCTTCTTCTTCATTAATGCTATTACCTCAGTCCACTTAGGTATTCTTTCCTTTATCTTCCGCTTGCTCTTTTCCTAACACAGTTTGCAGTTTTTACTGTTTTCAAGTCTATTTCTGGTCATAACATGGCCAGTGAATTTTGACTATCTTCTTCTTCTTTGTTTTCTCCATTTCTGCATTTGCCTTTAAGAGGTTTGTCTTACATGCTCTGTTGTGGTTTACAGCTCGGGATTTGCCCGACACATCTGGTTTCAGCAAACCTCTAATTAGCTGCCTCCTACAACATGTTTGCTGGGGGATGGGGGGTCTATTCTGTTTCTACCCCAAATGGGAACTAGGTACCCACATGGGGGGTCTGTATAATGTTTTGAAGATTGAGAAATTTTAACTTTGTTCTTGAAAGACATTTCTTTGTTTACTTTATTCTATATATTATAGTAATTCTCTGTATTTGACAGTACTAGAGTATCTAGTTTTTCTATAGCCTTGAAATTTGTCAGGGATGGATTGAACATACGATATTATTATCTTGTTATTATAGTGCATCCAGTGTTGCCAAAATTTAACATAATGATATACTTTCTACTGTAAATCCATTATTGCTCAAAAAAAGGTCCCTTTTCTATGCCTGTAGGCGTATAGGGCATATAGCGCTAGACCTATACTTTTTTAGACCAATCGGCTTATGGTGGATGATGTGGTCAGCATTATGCCAGCCGCCTTTACTTACCAGGACTGCACCTGGTACCCACTCAACGCTGGGTCGACCTGGAAGTCAAGGTCGTTAAAAAAAAATTTCTGGCTCCATCAGGATGCGAACCCATGACATTACTATCTGCGGGCAGGCATCCAGCCGCTAATGCCACAGTGACTCCTATTACTGCTCAAAGTAAAGGTTATTAAACATTATATTTCTAAAATTTGTGTTAGCAGACTGTTTTTGCTGAATTGAAGCTAACATTTTCATTACAGCAAACTGTTGTGCTGAAGCTAACATTTTCATTACAGCAAACTGTTGTTGCTGAAGCTAACATTTTCATTACAGCAAACTGTTGTGCTGAAGCTAACATTTTCATAACCTCTGGATGTTTCTTACAGCACGCCCGGTATTGCCCAAAACCCGGCCCTATATATCGGATTTCGGCAAGGAGACAATACAAATTGGCTGGAAACCAGCAGAGATCCCGGATTACTATGGGCGTTCCATGTCTGTTCCCCCAGTCACCTATCGAGTGGAGGCCCAGAAGCTGCCCAGTGAGGAGTGGGTTCCTCTCGCAAGTCGGGTCAAGAAACCAAGTTTTTATCTCTCAGATCTGGAGTCAGACAGAGATTACAATATTCGCATTAGAGCTCAGACACCTTACGGGGTCAGCCAGCCAACTGAACCAGTCTGGATTCCCAGGGCTAAAGGTGAGGAGTGTGCCAAAGAGTGCTTGTGTATTATCATGGGCTTTTTGATTGTTCAGTTAAATAGGCCAGACAGTGGTGAGTTAATGTCTTATATCTTAGTATCATCACATAATGGAAGAGGCTCTAACAGTTCACAAACAAAACACAAACACTTCTTGACCATTTTCCATGCAGAGTGACAGAGTGCATGTAAAAAAAAAGGACCCTTTTCCACGCCTTTAGGCATATAGGGCATATAGGGCTAGACCTATATATAACCACTAGTTAAATCAAAACAGCTGAACCTTTACTAAACAAACTTTCTAGAGCATTCATTAAGCTGATCTGAGCTAAGTAAAGAACTGACATCACAGCAGTCAGGACATTCCTATCTTCAACAACCAGCACAGAGTTCCAGTTCTGATGGTACCAATATTAGTCATATTGTGTCCATCTCATCTTTCCTCTAAGAGTTGAGCATCGGCCAGATCCCCTGGTCACTTCCTGCTGCACCATTCTTTCCAGGCTGTGATGATCTATTTGTGCTTTTGCATTGTTCAGTCACTCCTGACACTTGATCACATCTAGCTTGTTAGTAGAGCATCATCATCATCATCAAGTATTTCTGTGTTTGGGCTTGCCACCAAGTTTCCTTTTCACTCCCTTTTCTTATAGGGAGTCGCCGTGGCTAGACGCTCGCCTTCTTATCGGAAAGTCGTGAGTTCGCTCCCTGGCAGAGCTAGAATTTTTTCAAAAACGACCTTGGCTGCCAGGTCAACCCAGCCTTGAGTCAGTACCAGGTGCAGTCCCGGGAAGTAAAGGCAGTCGGCGTGATGCTGACCACATCATCCATCTTGTGCTGATCGCTCTATAAAAATATAAGTCTAGCCCTACATGCCCTGTACGCCTAAAGGCATGGAGAAGGATCCTATACTCTTTACTTACCTTTAATATATGTTTGTCTTAAATTCCCTGTGTGGATTCCAGGACTCCGGTTTGGGGGGGGGGGGGGGAAGAGAATAGACTCACTGCCCCCTTAACAAGCACATGGTAAAAGGCAGCTTATTATGGGTGTTTCCTTCAAAGTTGGAGGCAACTGTCTAAGAAGCAAAGAACTAACAGCCTGCATACAAATAAGCCAGACCTGTAAAATGGATGTGCATGCAAAACTTCAGATCTAAAACAAGATTAGAGTTCAGAAGTGGATGAACAAACATAATTTTCTGTCAGAGTTTACAGTTGGTGAGTGCTTAGGAAGGAAGGCACAGTCTTGAGCAATTCTATTTTATTACAAATATACCTTATGTAACAGAGCTAAGCATGTTTTTAAAACATGTAAACAATGTTGGTATCATTATTCTACATCAGGTCCTTTGTAGAGTGTCTTATGGTCATGGCATGCCATAAAACCAGTTGTCCCCTGCCAACTGTCCTACACTGAATTTGCATGCCTTGATACCCTGTGTCCAACTTTATGCTGGTGAACCTCTGCCTCTTCTTTCAGGAAATATACCTCCATTATGGCATTCAATATGGCTGAAATATTTTAGTTTCTATGAAACAATACTGCTGATGTTCCAGGTTCCATTTCAGATCCCGAAGAATGTGAGTATTTTTACATGATGAGTTTCATGAGATGCACATTGTGACAGTTTCCCCTTGCTTTCCACATCCACCTGTCCTCAGCCTCTAGAAGCCCATTAAGTGAGTTTACATATAAGTATAGACTCATACAAATTATCAGACAGGTTATGGAGAAAGTTGAATTCAAATGTTTATTATGAATGGTAAATAAACTTCAAGGTTTACGCTGACCATATTTCATATGTCGTTGCTAGCCTTCACTGGGGTTCCTGTGAGCCGACCTTTTATCACAGAAATAGAGGAGGGAACTGCTCGGCTTCAGTGGAACCGGGTGGACATACCTGCTTTTGACAGGTCTGATGAACCATTATTGTACATGATAGAAATACAGGAGCCACCTTCTTACAGGTGAGTGATATATTCATTCCACAGATGTGTGACTTTTCCTGCAAGGAAATCATGAAATGACTTATATTTGTGATACCCAGCAGACAGTCGATGGGTGATCGGGTCAGATGAATGAATGAATAAATGAATAAATAAATCAGTCCACTCGGGACATTCTCACATGGGCTCCCTCCCCTTCGTCAGTAGCCAACGAAGAGCGGACAGGCTAATAGTACCTGTTGAACCAGATTAAAACTCCGCCTATATTTTCCTCTTCAGTGTTGAAAGTCTTCCAGAAACTCTACTCACCCCCAGATGAATTATAGGAATTCTCTGTCTGCTCTAATGAGTCACTGTCCATTTGATCACAGAGAAATTTCACCATATCCACTTTACCATAAAGTAGCTCACCGCCCAGAGGAGCAGCAGCTAATCTATCAGTCTACTCGTTACCTCCCACACCTGAATATCCTGGACAGAAAATTCATGTTGTCCTCCTAATCTGAGTCTTATCAATGGATACACACCAGTTTGTGCATAGGATGTCAGTTTTAGTTTTCTGAAACATGCTCTGTGAAAAGGGTCAACATCATACAAGCAAACCTTTACTTCCGACAACATTTGCTGGTATCCATTTTAGGTTTGCATGACCTGGGAGCCCTTGTCAATTAAAAACAAAAATGTCTCCATACACATTTAAACCCAAGACTTTTTAGCTATGTCTGCTCACTCTGTTGATGTCTGTGGCTTAGGTGTTGTGGACGTGCTTCACACTGCAGGGGTGGCAGGTTTGATCCCATCTGCAGACGGTTTGTCTAGCATTGGACAGAAGTACCGAGAGCTGACTGTTCATAAAGCAAAGGCAAACTGCTGAACGTAAAATTTACTAGAAAAACCACAACAGCCAAAAAATACGGGTTTGGATCTGCAACATCCTGTAAAGGATACGCAGCTAACTTACTCACTCTGTTTCTGTGACTTCCGTTGATTTTCTTAACTGTTCTGAGATTTGATTTGACTAAACTGCGATTTGATTCATAGATGGAATTGTTTTTTTGACTGAACTCAGATTTTGAAGTTGTGACGGGTTTTTGGTGAAAAAGGACATTGAATGTACTCACGTCTCTATAAGTGATCCAGTCTACTCCTATATGTCACATGTTTCCAGTAGATTTATTATTTCTTCATGTTTCACACAATCAAATGCTTTCGTATAGTCAATGAACAAGGGTAAAGATTGCTTTTTACTTCTGTAGCTCTTTCTGAAAGAGTTCTGAGGATGTATTTGGCTTTGTTTGTACCTTTTCCTTCAACAAATCCACATTGTTCTTAACTAATTTCTGGTTTAATCTTGTTTTGCATTCTTCTCATAATTAATCACAGTAGCATTTTTGTCACATGACTCATAAGACTTCACATTTTAAAGTGCCTGGTTTCTTTGGCAGAGCAGTAAATATAGATTTTAATAGGTCATTAGGAATGTACCCACTGTTATCTTTTAGGGCGGAATTTTTTCTGGGGTTTGGACAGCATTAATTTTAAGAGGAATTTTTTTAGTGCAACACGACAAAGCTAAAACCTTCCTGAAGAAAAAGTATGAGCTGTATCAGGACTTATAATATATCAAATTAAAGATACATGAGTGCAGAATAAATCTAAACTACTTAAATGTCAGAATAACATCAAAATATTATTATAATCACACAACATTCAAGGATGTTAGACACAAAAGACAATTTTAAACATAAAAAATTGTGTGCTAACCTTATTTTTTACTGGTTCAACAACACTGCTATCCAATTATAAGAATACATATGCCTTCTCTGTTCAATTATGTATTAGCTAGTCTTTATTTGAAACAATTAATTTAAATACTTTGGATATTATAATCATTTTTGTATAAAATGTCAATTTTCCCAACAACCGAAAATCGGAAAAAACAGCTGATCGAAACATTGATCTAATTGAAATATTTTGTGAAATTTTTATATCCTAAACTAAATTATCGCTAGTAGATGTGTCCCTTAGATATCAATCCTAATATCAAGACTGTTGTCACCATCTGGCAGGGATTTATCAACGATAGAGCAGTATGGACAGTTCTAGACCTTTTCCCTTATCATTTAGTATAGAAAAATCACGTAAAAATTGTATCTCATGTAAATAATTTTTTTAAATCACAAAATAATGCACCGACCACGATGAACATCGCAAATGAAAGTACATCCTGTTGTTAATCCTAATTGTTAAAAAACTTGTTCATAAAAGTTCGTTTACCCTATAAACGGAACATAATTAGAGTGTCTCTATCATGAGCCAGTAAACTGGCTTTACGTCTTTAAGGGATAGACTTAAGCGCCAGTATACTGGCTAAACGTCCGTAAAGAGTTAATAATTTTGTAATTATTTCAATTCCAAAATATCCTAAAGCTTCAATTTCTCCCAAAGTGATGTTGTCTGGCCTGGGTGGCTTTCCTTTCTTCATGTGATGCTATACATCCTCAACTTCTGAAGCCAGTATTGTCGTCATTATCATTATCATTATTAATATACTCTGTGTAACATAAAGTTTAAAAAAAATACCTGTCCTTTTCTGTACTGGTGTTTTTTTTTTAAACTTTAAAATATGTGTGTTTAAATGTGTGTGTGTGAGAGTGTTTGTATATTTGTATACTTATTTATACATAAGTTGATAGCTGTGTTGCAGTTGACTGCCTGATTAAAAGCAAATGCTGATATTGTCACAGATGGAGAGAGCTGGCACGGCGTGTGCCCACTAACTACTACATTGTCCGTGACCTGGAGCCTGCCCAAGACTATCGTTTCCGTGTCCGTGCCGAGTCCAGAGATGGACTTCTCAGTGAACCTAGTCCTGCTACCTCCCTCTTCAGGACATTAGGTAATTTGCATATTTACGATGTCTCTGACACATAAAGTAACGTATCTTTCAATCACATGAACCGATGTTTCCCTAACTCATTTGAACTAATGTATGTATAGTACATATACACTTTTTATTTCACATACATGAACTGATGTGTCCCTTACTCATATGAAATAATTTATCCGTAATACATATAAACTAGTTTATTTTACACACATGAACTGTTGTTTATTTCACACACACATGAACTGTTGTTTATTTCACACACATGAACTGTTTTTTATTTCACACACATGAACTGTTGTTTATTTCACAAACATGAACTGTTGTTTATTTCACACACATAAACTGTTGTTTATTTCACACACATGAACTGTTGTTTATTTCACACACATAAACTGTTGTTTATTTCACACACATGAGCTGTTGTTTATTTCACACACATGAGTTGGTGTTTATTTCAAACACATGAAATGTTGTTTATTTCACACACACATGAACTGTTGTTTATTTCACACACATAAACTGTTGTTTATTTTACACACATCCATGTGTTGGTTCCCTGACCCCATTATGAGGGGAAGTGGGGGTGGGGGAGGGGCGGGGGAGTAGACATCTCCCAAATAAGAATGTTGTGAGAGTTGACTAATTAGGGGTTTCCTTCGAAGTTGAAGTGCATCTGCCTGAGAGGAAAGGAATCAACAGTCTGTATACAAATAAGCCAGATCTGTAAAATGGATGTGCATGCAAAACTCAAGTTCTGGAACAAGGTTAAAGTTTAGAAGTGGATGAACAACCAAAACTTTCCGCAGGAGTTTATAGCTGGTGAAGGCGAAGTAAAAGAAGAAACTTCAGCAAGGAACCTGTTAATGATGATGACAACACATACAAAGTATTGTTTACTTTATTCATATGAGCTGCTGTATCTCTTACAGTGATAAATAAATAGATGTTTTACACACCTTAGCCATTTCATATCTTTCACAAAATAGCTTCTATATGGACTCACACACTATTAAAATAGTGTTTCTCATATACATGAACTCTTGTTTCACACAGGTAAACTACTGCCTGACTCACATACATGAATTATTCTCTCTGCCACACGCAAGCTGTGTGTCCTACACATATGCTGTATGTCCTATACACATATTGCCTATTGTAAATCTCGTACACACAGACACTCTTTTGTCTTTCCCTGAAGACTTCAATCATAAAAATTAAGTAAATTTTCATTCTTCTTGGCATAAAATAAGACACCTGTTGAAATGTGCATGTTGTGTGTGCAATTTAGGGATTCTGCATTTGTCTTATTTGTGATGAGACATTTGTCTTAGTTATAATACAACATTGATCTTACTAATGATGCATTTGTCTTGCTTATGATGCATTTGTCTTGCTTATGATGCATTTGTCTTGCTTATGATGCATATGTCTTGCTTATGATACACAATTTTCCCTGTGTGGGTGCTGTCCCTTTTTCAGGGGGAAAAGAATAGACCTACTGCTTCCTTAACAAGCATATTGTATGAGGTGAATAAAGAGGGGTGTTTCATTCAAAGTCAGAGTGCATCTGCCTGAGAGTGAGGAACCTGCAGTCTGCATGCAAATTCTGTAAAATGGATGTGCACACAGCATTCTGATCCTAGAATAAGACAAAAGTCCAGAAGTGGACGAACAACCAAAACCTTCTGCTGGAGTTTATAGCTGATGAAAGCCAAGAAAAAAAGATACAATGTATGTCTAGCTTATGATATATTTGTGTTGCTTATGTTTTCAGCTCTGAGTCGTGCACCTGTAGACCGGCTTGAGATAGAAGATTATGATGCAGATTTGCAGAGTGCAAGGTTGTCGTGGCGACGTGTGGAAGTCCCACCATATGGAGCTGAGGAAAGCCCTCTTTTATACATGATCGAGTCAGTGAATTTCATTTTGTTTACAATCATCCTCCTATTCAATACTCTGCATCATTATCATCATCCCCATCGTCTCCTGAAAACTCTTGGGGGGGGGGGGGGGGTGGGGGGGAGCTCAAAACCTGGACATTCCTGAAAAAATCCTTGAAAAAATACATTCAATTAATGTACTTATATTTGTATTTTTAAAAATTTATATGCATTTTTGAATATTTTTATTTTAAAGAAATATATGAAGGGCATTAATCAATAAGCACATCTCAGAGTGAAGAATTAAACGAATACATTGCCTTGGGCCTAAAACAGCAAATCCATTAATGAACCCATTACTTTCAGAGTCATATTGCCTAACTATTTAGCCATAGAGACTGCCTTCTCCCCATTAGATGTGTGAATTAAATTTTTTCTTCAAAGTCACTTGTGAACTTTAATATCTGTATCACCTATCATCTGTTTTTTTTTTTCTTTCTTCATTGTCACATTGCTACCATGTTGTAGCCCAGTGTCATGGGTTTCTGTAGTTTTCTTGTGCTTTTTGTGTGATGGTTTTGTTCATCATTTTGTGTGTACATGTGTTTGTGTGTGTGTGCAGGATTAAACTACTCTGTCCATCCATGTTTCCCTGGTCTTCCCGTCACCTTTTGCACAGATGTTTTGCTGTAGAAAGTCTCATACACAGGTTGGTTTGGCAACATTCTAACTAGAGGTCAAATCACTTCATTCTGTCTGTCAATTCAGGAGGCAGTCTTGTTTCAACCATTCCTCTAATGCTGGTATTCTAAACACCTTCTCTCTTGTGTTGTTAGTGACCTCTCAGGTACAGTGCATTGTGTAGGTGGTTATTTTATGGTCCTCTTTGCCCATATTTACACTGATAGCACAAAGTTGGGAAGAAAGATGCTGTTCATCATCTATGAACTACACTTTCTATCACAAGTTCTGTGTGATGTATATTTCTCATCCACAAAAAGTTCAGAGTTCAGTGTGATACATCAGATTATTGTTGTTGTTGTTATCGATCCAGCGGCGCATGAGCTTTCTCCCTTTGGCCCAATGCCATGTAGTGGAATTTGCATGTTTTCACAAGCTGTTCTTTTCCTCCGTACAAGGTGTTCCACTTGTCTGGTCTCGGAGGGAGTAGCGTTCTTCTTGTCTCACTGAGTTTTGGGCACTCAAAGAGATGGTGTTCAACAGTTTCGTAGGGGTAGTTACATAGCTGGCACTCTGGGGAGTGTTGTGGCTGTATTCTGTATAAGTGTCCATGGAGTGGAGTATGTTGCGTTCTGAGTCTGAAGATGGTGGCCTGGTCCCTTCTTGTTAGATGGTTAATGCTGTCATTAGGATCAGGGCCAGACATATGTCTATAAACCTCTCTTCCAGTGTCTCCCATGGCCCATCTGTTCAACCAAGTCTCTTTGTTTATAGCTCTTATCAGTGTTTTTGCTGTCTGGAGGGTTGTCGCTGTAGGTGGTTGTTCTTGTGTTGCTCCTTTCTTTGCCAATCTGTCAGCTCTGTCATTACCTGGTGTGCCGGAGTGACTTGGAATCCACTGCATCACTATTCTGATGTTGTATGAGGTAATAAGCTGATCAGCATCCAGGATTATCTTGGCTATGTCAGCTCTGCAGCGTTCATTGCCCTCCAGAGCTTGAAGGGCAGACATTGAATCTGTGAAGATGACAATATTTTGGACCTTTGAGGGGTAAACATCCATTACAGTCTTTAGGTGGTATACTGCGGTTTCCAGTGCAATTATTTCAGCTTCATAGTTTGAACAGAATTCCCCGCATTCATCAAAAATCTCTTCAACAGATCCATCGGGATAACCTATGTAGATTCCGTAACCTGCTTTAATGGTAGCTTTAAATGCTGATCCATCAGTATAGACATGTATCCATTCTTGGGGGTAAGAATCAACGGTCTTTAGTGATGAGTTCATAAGAGCGATTGGGTCGGACTGTTTGGTTTCCTCGCCTACCAATTTAGTTTTGACTTCTGGAGCTTTAAAGCGAGCATGTGGTGGTAGGTTTTTTGCAACATTCTGAATTCCTTGACGTCTTTCTGGGAGGTGGTATCTGTCCTGAATTTCATTAACACAGTGTAAAACCGATTTGTGCTTTATTCTTTGTTTGGATTCCCAGTTTTCTACAAGATGTCTATTAGGATGGTTATGATTTTTCCTAACGCATCTTTCATAAATTTCTAAAGTGGCTTTTTCTCTCCGCAACCGAGAGGTTCCACATTTGTATGGATTTCACATGCAGCAGTTGGTGTAGACTGCATAGCTCCGCAGATTAATCGGAGGGCATTATTTTGTACTCTGTCAAGAGTCTCTAGGTTAGTTTTGGAGCAAGTTGTAAGCAGTGAGTTGTTGTACTCTATCACAGAGCGAACATAATCCTAGGTATAAGCCCCTCAGAGTTTCCTTGTCTGATCCCCATGATGTACCTGCAAGTCTCTTTAATAACTGTAACCGCCTCAATGCCTTATTCCTGATGTTTTCAATATGGTTCTTGAGGCTGAGCTGCGGGTCAAGTGTGATTCCAAGGTATGTGGGATGCTCTTCTTTCATCACTTGGTGTTTGTCTAACCTCAGGTTAATATTCTTCCTTGCTACTTGGTGGCTTTTGGTAAAGATTGTGTAGACCGTCTTTGCACAGTTAACCTTGAGTTTCCGTCTTTGGCAGTACTCATGCAGTCTTCTAAGGTCTCCATTCAGTCTTTTGGCTCCACTTTCCACATTTTCATGACTCTGCCATATTGCTAGGTCATCAGCGTACAAGGCTTTTTCGGCCTTGATTTGTTCTGGCAGGTCATTGATAAAGATTAGGAATAGTGTACAGCTCAATGATGAGCCTTGTGGCAAGCCCTCCTCCAAGACTTCTTTAGAAGAGATTGCGTTGTGCATCTTAGTCTGGATTGTTCTATCTATCAGGAAGTATTTCACCCAGTTATACAATCTGCCATGTATTCCTATGCTCATCATCTTCATCAGGAGACCTTTTCTCCATACTCTGTCATAGGCCTGCTGGAGGTCGACAAAGACTGCCACTGTGTGTTTCTTATTCTGGAAGCCATCATGTATTCTTTGTGTCAGTCTGAACAGCTGGTCTTCTGTGCAGCTGTTGGTTCTGAAGCCTGCCTGTTCATGGCATAGAACACCAGAACTCTCAAGGAACCAATATAAGCGCCTGTTTATGTAATCAACTATTGTTGGCGGAATCTATCGTCGCCTGGAGATCCCCTATATCCTTCCAAATAACTTACAGGGCTCGAATTAAATAAGTCTAGGGGAATTATAACGGTCCCTGAGTTCTGGAAAATAAAGGAAGGAAAATACAGAAAGTTAAATGAATAGGGTGAATCCCAGGAAATTTCCTAAAGAAATTCAGAAAACAATCAAAGTCAACTTTGTTAATTTAACTCAAATCAACTTCAATGAACAATCTTTAGTCTACCCAAGAAGTTAAATTTGATAGGATGAAATCGATAAATGGAGTTTCTAAATAACAACTGTATTTGATAAATA